TCTTGCAGGTGAGCCCAAGAACCAAAGCAAGGAGCAACCTAGAGCAGACCAGATTACAGTGCCTGCTGGCATACATGTGACTCAGTTAGGGGCGTGGGCCAGACTGGGCCAGTTCATAACACCCATTGGCAGATTTGAGAATCAGGATGGGATGTAGGACAGACTGGATCTGGCCACATCATCTGGGGCAGGGAATGGTCCAGTGGGAAGGTTGTGGGCTCCTCTCTGATGGGCTGCAACTCCCACCAGTGAGCATGAAAACCAGGACTGGGGAGCGGGCCTGGCTGGACAGGTGGCAGCACCTGCTGGCATGAATGTATGCAGGAGGCTGGAGTCAATTGGATTGAGTTAAGCTTCAATGCTCAATGATGTATACAAAATCTAAATGGGACGTGGGACAAACCTACCAGTCTACTATACATACTGACAAACACAGGAACCAGAGCCGGGGTCCGGCCTATAGGGGTCTTTAGGGGTTGCTCTGACTGGGCTGCAGCTACCCTTGTGATCCATGAGGGCCAAGCATGTATTGGGCAGGGCTGGTCTGGGCCGCAGCATCCACTGGTTTGCTGAGGATGGAGAGCAGAACAAACCGATCAATTACCCCAGTGAAGCTTGACAGCAAATTTCTGGGCCATTGGAGACTTGCAGGTGAACTATGACAGCCAGTTGACCTTGGAAGGATTTCCTCATCCATGGAGCTGTGATAATCAGCAGCATCTCAGAACTATAGAAACCACACGAGTAGAATCCTCAGAAAATGCTCCACAACGGGGCCTCTGGGGTGACATGGAGTGGCAGTTCCCCATCACCCCGGTAATGCGCCAGTTGGGGAGGCTGGGCATGGTGTCTCCTCTTGTATCCCCTTCTCCCCCATACACAGGAAGAAGAAAAACAAAATGTGTAAACAATGGTGTCACGGTCCCCTGACCCTTGACCATTCCCACCCTGATCAACTATATAAGCATCATCAAAAATAAATTTAGGGCCCTGCACCATAGCCTGGTGGCTAAAGTCCTTGCCTTCCACACACCGGGATCCCATATGGTTGCCAGTTTGTGTCCTGGCAGCCCCACTTTCCATCCAGCTCCCTGCTTGTGGCCTGGGAAAGCAGTTGAGATCAGCCCAAACCCTTGGGACTCTGCACTTGCATGGGAGACCTAGATGAAGCTCCTGGCTTCCGATTGGCTCAGCTCCAGCCATTGGCCACTTGGGAAGTGAATTAGCAGGTGGGAGATCTTCCTCTCTGTCTCTCCTCCTCTCTGCATATCTGACTTTCAAGTAAAAATAAATAAATCTTTTTAAAATAAATTTAAAAATAAAATTTAAAAAAATCGAAATAAAATGATGTGTAGCACGAATTCAACTATGTCCTCAAAAAAAAAAATTCCTAAAAGGAAGCCTGAAGGAAACATGCTAAAATGCTAACTATTGTAGCCTAATTTCTTCCTCACACTTTTCATACTTTCCACAATGGGTACAAGGCACTTTCAGCCCCAAACAAAAACTGTGCATTGTTTTTCTTAAGGAAATGTGGGATAATCCTACACGTTCTGTGCAACAAACTTGCACTTTATGCAAGTGTAGAAAGTAAGAAAACAAACTAATTTCTCTCTCTGCTAGTAAAAAAAAAAATAAATAAAAACAGTGGTGAGGATTATTAACTGGTTCTGAAGTTTACTTTTTATTATTACATAAATAGTGAGAATTAAACATAAGAAATATCTCTTATCTAACTAGCTTACAAATGTCAGATGTATAGTTACAAATATTTTCTCCCATTCTGTAAGCTGTTATTTGCTTTGTTGAGTATTTCTTTTTCTGTGCAAAAGCTTCTTAACTTGATCTAGTCCCTTTGCCTGTATTTGCTTTAATCACCAGGCTTGGGGGTCTCATAAGAGGAGTCTTCGCCTATGTCAGTTTTGGCAGTGTTTCCCCTGTGTTTTCCTCTGGTAATTTGATGGTTTCATGTTTAACTGTAATTGAGTTTTGTGTAGGGCATAAGGCAAGGGTCTTGTTCCATGCTTCTGTGGGCTGAGCTCCTCGTTGCCCAATACCATTTGCTGAAGAGACTGTCCTTTTCTGCAGGGAGTTATTTTACTTCATTTGTTGGTTGTAGATGCATGAATTAGTTTCAAAGGTTTCTATTATGTTTATTGATCTACATGTCTATTTTGTTGCAGCTGTAGGCTGTTTCAGTTATGACTCTCCTTAATATGTTTTGAGATTTGGTGTTCTGATAACTTCAGGTTTGCTTTTGTTTTTTAAGATTCCTTTAGCTATTTGAGGTTTCATTCATGCATATGGATTTATGCACAATAAATGAATTCATTTGTACATATGAGTTGGAGCATTTTATAGATATCAGAATAACATATAGTATTTGGATGGGGGTCACGTAGAACTGTGTTGAAAAGTAGTTAGTAAAGTGGGCATCCTTGAGGTCACAGCTGTGGCACAGCAGGTGAAGCATCCGTATGAGCTCTAGTTCGTGTCCTGGCTGCTCCATTTCTGATTAAGCTCCCATGGTCTGAGGAAAGCGTGAAAACATGGCCCAAGTTCATGGGCCCCTGCCATCCAAGTGGGAGACCGGGAAGAAGTTCCTGGCTCCTGGCTTTGGCCTGACCCAGTACTAGCCATTACAACCATCTGGGGAGTGAATGGAAGTGAATCTCTGTCTCTGTCTCTGTGTGTGTCTTTCCCTCTCTCTGTAACACTGACTTTCAAATAAATAAGTAAATATTCAAAATAAAAAAGAAGAAAACAGGGCATCTTTGGTTGTGTCTCTTTGCTCGGTATTGTGCTGGCAGTGGTGTTGTTGTTTGTTGCCTTGAGTGTGTTGCTACGTGTTCCTTTTGTACCCAATTTGATTAAGTTTTTTTATGTAGGACACTTGCATTTTATCAAATACTTTCTCTGCATCTATGGATATAATCAGTTTCAGTGGCACACACAGATCATGACCAAGCCTAAATGCAAATTTGAAATCGAGTTTATTCAGCTTATTCAAATTTTCTGAATTAAAAAGAAACAGGGTGCTTGTGATAAGAAATAGGAATGAAAGACAAGAAAAAGGGAAGCAAAATGTTGTAAAAGCTGAAAATAAAAAAACAGAAACAGAAATGGTTTGTGTTTTTATCTTTTTTCTAAATGCTCTGATAGTGTAGGAACCAGAGGTTAAATGGCAATAACTTTTTATAGTGAACTAAGGCTCCTTTCAGAGTCTCTCCTCATGTTAAATTCCTGCTTTGCCAGCTGCTTGGATCTTTGTGTTGTCTAACTACACGTCGCGCAGAGCCAATAAAAGTGTGGTACAGCCGCTGGATGCACATAGGTCCCCTATGCTGTCATAGGCATTCGTGAGCGTTACGGCCTAGGATGTACCTTTACCGCTCCTGAATGCATTTCATATCTGTAAATCATCCCTACCCAGAGGAGCTACTGAGAAGATACTGGCTAGTTGTAGCTACCTTAAATAGTCCTCTGAATTGTTGGGCTTTGTAAATGAGTGTCATTTTTGAAAAGTGGAAAGTCCATTGGAATGTAATAGTCATGTCACAAAGTAAGAAACAGAAGCTCATGAATTGTCATCAACTGAGAGCAAATTAAGGCAATGGCATTTTTTCTGCCTATCTGATTCACAATGATGTAATATTTCCTTTTTTTAAATTCATTAGGGAAAATAGTTGAACAAGGCTTAGCTTTCAGTGCTGGTAGCACATTTGGAGCTGATCTAACAAAGGAACTTTGAACTTTGTTCTGATTTACATAACTCACCAGACGTGTCTAACTAACTGATATTATTATCACACAAGAAAAAAATAAGATGTTTCTGCCTGGAATAATGAACCCTAATAAGACATGGCTAATTTTTCTTTTTGCCTCATTTTATATATAAATGTTTATATATAGACATTATGAAAATGGTTGTTTAGGCATTTATTTATTTGTTTGAAACACAGAATGTCAGAGAGAGGAATTGAGGAAGAGACATATCTTGTGTCTGCTCATTCACTTCCCCAAATGTCCACAACAGCCAAGGCTGGAACAAGTCAAAACTGGGAACCAGGAATCCAGCCTGGTCTCCCACATGGGTGTTAGTGGCCCAAAGGCTTACACCATCATCATCTGCTTTCTCATGCTCATTAGTAGGAAGTTAGATCAAAAGCGAAACAGTCAGAACTCAAAAAGATCACTGCAGTACGGAATTCCAGCACTGCAAGCAGTGTAACCTGCTGTGCCAGCATGCCACCACCGACAGAATTGTTTTTAAAGTATTGAAGAGTATGCATAGTACATCCACAGAGTTACGGAATGTGGAATAGATTGTTAAGCAAATGAGGAAGCCCACTTAAGTTATGTATAATAAACACTGGGTGATAAGAGCTTACATATTAGAAATGCAAGCTTTATAGTGGTATCACATTCAAAGCAAAATATGACCATAGGAAATACAGCTGAAATTAAGCCAGTAGTGAACAGGTTTCTGTAAGCTCAGATACATGTGTGGGCGACAGACTGAGTATTTATTAATCAGTTCCAAATGGACATTAGAATGGTTGAAGCATTGCATTATTTTTAATTCAGAATTACTTTGTTTAATTGCAGAACTACTGAAGTTGACCAGGAACTTTTAGCATCTCATATTACTGACAAGTTTAAGGGTTAGAACTGTTCCATTCTACATTTAAACAGAGCTCATTAACCAGTATGAAAGTCATGGGACAAGAAAGTTGAAAGTGAGTGAGGAACCTGAGTGCATTTGTTCCTGTGCTGCTCTGAGTCTGCCTCCCTTGTCTTGCAGTTAGGCGGAAGGAGCAGTCTCAGCAGCACCCATTGAAGCAGCCCCTGAGGGAGTGCTTCCTTAAAAGAAGCCTTGCCTATAGCTTCATGTCTCAGGTGACTGGCTGGGTGTGGCCTCTGCCTGGACACTGGTTAGGTTTGTTCAGAACATCCCAACCTGCGTCCTCCCCCTGACGCTCTGCCTCTCGTCTCCTCAGGACTACTGGCTCTCCCTCCTGTACAAGCGCCTCATCGGGCCCAAGGTCTTGGCTGTGCATGTAGCTGGGCTCCAGCGGAAGCCAAGGCCTGGCCGTGTGATCCGGGACAAACTGAGGATTTATGCTCACTGCACAAACCACCATAAGTAAGTATACGTGGAGGTGACGAGGAAGATCACCCTCAGTAAACTTGAGCCTGTCTTGGATTGCCATGCCATCTGGAACTCCCTTGAGATTCAGCCGTGTCCAGTGATCTTGATTGAAAACTCCCTGATTCTCTCTGCAATCACCATTCTAAGTGCAGATTTCTGGTTAAATAGCTTCTTCTCCAAATAAAGCCCCCTTCTTGTACTTGTGAGATTTACTGATAAAGGTACATCAAATTGTGCTATTTGTTCATTCCTTAATTGACCCCAATATGTTTTTATTGAGCATTTTCTTTGTGTCTGCTGCCGTAGTGCCCATGAAGCTCTTCTGTGTGCCTAAGCTTGAGCCAAGGCAAGATGCCCGATCTGTTTCTATGATCCAGCAGCAAAGCTTGAGGAAATCTGTCTCCATTTCTGAGATACCTGCTGGAGAGCTGAAACATTGAAAATCTAGCCCTGGGCCAGCATCTCCCATTGATCTTCCCCAGAAATACAAGAGTGCCCAAAGGTAGTCAGGCCAGTTTTTCAAATATATGCTCAGCTTTTTTAAGTGTTAAGAGATCAAATAAAGCAAGGCTTGTTTTGGATCAAAACATAGACATTTAGCAACGCAGTACAGTGTTACTAGCAAAGCTCAGTGGATTCTCTCCTCAGCTTAATGTAGAAATAAAAAGCAGGAAAGCTAGTGCAAGCATTAATACAATCTATAAAGATTCTATTAATCAAAGCAAAATAATCACAGCAAAGTCATAGGAAAGCACTGTCCCACAAAGAAGTGGGAAACTGGAGTGCCCAACTAGACACTGGTTTAAGCAAAACACCTTGGACTTTTTTAAGTTTTCTTTCTTTTCATAGTCATGACCATAGGGAGGGGACTCAGGTGTCTGGGCTGATCAGGTGTATTTTTCAAAGATTTATTGCTTTTTTATTGGAAAGGCAGATTTACAGAGAGAAGCAGAGACAGAGAAAGATCTTCTGTTTGCTGGTTCACTCCCCAAGTGGCTGCAACAGTCAGAACTGAGCTGATTTGAAGCCAAGAGCCACGAGCTTCATCCAGGTTGCCCATGCAGGCACAAGGACCCAAGGCTTTTGGCCGTCCTCTACTGCTTTTCCGGGCCACAAGCAGAGAGCTGATGGGAAGAGGAGCAGCTGGAACATGAACTGGCACCCATATGGGATCCTGGCGTATGTAAGGCGAGGATTTAGCCACTAGACTATCTTGCCGGGCCCTGATGAAGTGTGTTTACTGAGAGTATTCTAGTGACAATCTTGTTCTACTCTGGGAAAATGGACAGCAACTTCCCACCACTTAGGTCTGGGCAGAGAAGCAGAAGGGAAACTCCCTTCCTCTTGGTTGTCTTGGCAACTGTCTTGCTTTGTACTGCCAGCTCAGATAGGACGTGCAGACAATGAACAGTGAGATGGCGTCCAAGAAGTGGGCACTCTCCCTCCTCCCAAGCGCTGGACCTGGCCTCAGTAAGGTGTAGTTGTTCTCATTTTTGTTTGACGTGCTGGTTGTCATTAGAGTGGTCTTTAAGCCAAACAGGAAATTTAACCATCAGTAAATGACGTTTGACTATAAAATATTTTAAAACATGGAGATCATAAGGGAAAAATTTTTAAGTAGGCTTAAAACAAAACCCATCTGGTTAAATATGGCTGTCTTACATCACTTCCTGTGGAAAGCAGAGTAGGCTGCCCTAGCAACGAGAATTTTCTTTTCTCAATGCACAGAAATCCTGCAGGGGAGGGACGGCCAGCAAGAGCCTCTGCCAGACTTCACTCCACCACAGCCTATCAGGGGCTGATCAGGGCAACAGGATAGAGTGGTCAGGTTTCAACAGATGCTCCTTCTCCTTCCTTGATGAGAGAGGAGCCAGGCCAGTTAATTTATCATGATAAGATTTCTCAAAGAATCACTTTGGGCAGAGGGGGCCAGGGGCCAGTTGTCCTGTCCTTACATACAAGTGCCTATTGTAGATGAGGGGAGGCGGACTTGGGCAGAGGCCAGAGCCTTTCAACATCCCTTTTGCTCTACAGGAAGCTTAATGCAATACCTGACAAGAGAGTGACTGCTTTATGGCCTCTGCCTGGAGTTATCTGATCATCGCACAAGGAAACATTGTATTCCTTGTCTCTGCTCTGGCCTGAGGTAACCACCCAAAAAGGTGGATCCTTGGCCTCAGAAGAGAAAAATTACTCTTGGCACCTTCCATGCATGGTGGAAAGCACAGCGGCCTGTGGTCTTTCTACTACTGATCTGAAGACCTAGGGTAAAAATGGCAATAACCATGAACTTAGCAGGATCTGCCCCCTCAACACACATACATACACACACACAGAGAAAGAGAGAGGGAGAGAGGATCTCATGGTGCTTTTTATAGTCTTCACTTGTGGTCTGAATATACCATGAACTCAGGCCAATGTCTCATTAATTTTGATGTCTAATACAGTAACTGGCATGAAGGTCGTAACCAAGGTGTTACCACTGATTTAGTTACAGCTGCCTTCCCCATTTGCTATCACCACATAAGCCAGAATGGGGTGTGGGGGAGGGCAAGGGAAGATTAGGAATTTTACCATTCACTAGCATAAGACCGCAAGTAAATTAGCAAGCGGTCTGGAGTCAGGGTTCCTGCACGTCAACAGCTCACCTCTACGGTTATTGATACCTTGGTCAGTGCAGCTCCTCTCTCTGTCCGTTACAAAGAAGGAAATGATGGCCATAATTCATCCACACATGACCCAAATGATAATGACTGCAGAGAAGTTTTTTTTTTTTTTATTACATTCATAAGGAGAGCCCACAATGGAGACACTGCGCTAGCTAAGGCTGAGGTGTCCTCCGTGCCAGCAGGTGTCCTGTTTTCAGATAGCAGGCTAGGGTAGAAGGATCTGTTCTCTCTGGGGAGCCACGTGCCCTGTGGGTGCTCTTATATCTGCCACAGCAATCATAAGGAGGCACTACTGCTTGGTCCTGTTTACTTGTGGCCATGAGATCAAAGTCAAAGAATTGTTCCAAAGCAGGTGTGTTGGTGTTACATTGATCAGTCTTGCCCCATATTCTGGAACATGTCTTCAATAAAAGCGGGAATGGAATGAGAATGTTTAAAATCAGTAATAGAACCATCTGACCAAAGGGTCTATTCAAACAACTTCTACACCCCAGTGTGCGTTGAATCCTTACTCTGTGACAAGCACCTTCTCAGGTATTTGCATTTATATTATCTTATTGAATTCAAATTCCATGGAAATAATTGATAATGCAAAGAATTTATATTTTAAAAGGCCCAAAGAGATCATTTGGCCGAGTGGCCTGAATTTATTTGAATATCCCACTGCCTCCCATGATAACCTTCAGCATTGCCAGTCATTCCTGATGGAGTTGTCACTTGTCAATGATAAAACAAAACAAGTTAGAAACTCATACCAACACTAGCAGGTGCTTTTCAGCTTCCAAGCTGGAGTTAAGTTCTCAACCTAAACTTTCATGTTCAGAGCAATCAAATTTTGACTGGAAAACCTTATTTCACAAGTCATTCTATTGAGACAATGTATGTTTCTAGGGTGGAGCCAAGGTCCTTAGCCAAGTTTTGAACCAATTGGAACCTGGTGGAGGTTGAAGCAAAATTGGGCCTTTTGGGGTTCAAGTTCATTTATTATTGGCAAAACATGACTTCCTGTTTTTCAGAAGAACTTTTTTAGAGACTCATAAAAAAGGTTCCCGAGGCTTCTTGGACATCAAATGGCTCTTACAGAACAATATTTTGATGAGTTAAGTGTAAATGAATCAGAAACATGTGGATTAAATTTCCCTTAAAATACACAGGGGCTTTGAAATTAAGGGGAAAAAATGTTTGGCAAAACATGGCCTGACTTTTACCGAATCTAAAACTTTTGAATTAGATTTGGAGACAATGGACCAACCCAGTTTTTGAACACATTGACTTTCACCGGGAATGACCATGGACTGCAAAGTGTTGTCTTCCCTTCCTTTTCCCAGCCTCCCAGCTTTCCTGGAGACATTTCTAGAACATGACTGTTTTCTATCTGGAAATCAAGATGCACCTCCCCAAATGACATCCCCCACCTCTTACATTCAGGATATTCCAATTCCAGCCTTCCTTCCCTGACTCACTTCCTCCTCCCATGGCAACACAGAAAAGATGTCAAGCAGGCGAAGAACAGCCAGAAGAGATGAACTCCAGACACATGGATTCTTTACTGAAGACTAAGAGAGACATGCAGCAAGATAGCTGTTCAACCCCGTTAGCTTCTCTTCAGAAAAGAGAATTCACAAAAATAACCAAAATCCACCTGAACCGGATGACATCAGAGGCCAAAAGTTGCCTGCAGGCCAGGCCTTCAGTCATAGTTTCCTTAAGGAACAGATACTCCTCCAAGATTTTTCTGTGGGCAGGGAATATAGATTCTTCAGAATTACATTTCTTCGGCCAAGAATGTGTCTTCACATCAAAGGGCCTATACTTTATGCCCTTGCCCCCATCAGCCAGGCAGGGAGAGGAGTGGCTGAGGCACTCTTAAATGCCAGTCCCCTAACTGGGGAGGTTCCATGAGTTTTGGGACAGCCTCTACATGTTGGTACCTGGCCTGCATTGGTGTGTCTTCCCATGGGGAACCATGCAAATGGAAAACAGACCATTGCTTGAAAAGACAGCTTCCCTGCTGTGCTTTGATTCCAGGTCTCCCCTCCACCCACCACTTCCCCACATCCCACCCTTCTCTTCTGCTGTCTCTAAGTGCTCCTTCTTCCCCAGCCCTGCACAGGAGAAACTCCTAAATGCAGGCATGTGGCTCTCACCCCCGTCTACTGCTGGCCATGGAGAGTATTGTTCAATAGTAGCTAACAAGAGTTTATCAGAGTCTGGAAAAATTAGTACCCACCACACTTACTTCACTCACACTCTGAAGCCCAGAATGACTTCTTCAGTTTTTCACTTTAGTTAAGCCAAACTGAGGACCCACCAAAGGAATCTGGTTGTTCTTTGAATGATGGTCAACATTGACACAGGATGTCAGCAGTTTGCTCAAATCAATTAGCACCACCTTCTGCCCTAACTCGTTTTTTCCTACCAAGCTATTCATTTCCATGCTGCAGTGGATTTAGAGGACCCAAAGGAGGAGAAATCAGACAGGAGATTCATTTACTCTTGCATCAAAACAAATAACAGGCATCCACAAGGCCTCGAATAGAACCATGTGCCCTCCTACAGATGCGAGAAAAGAGCACAGCCAGCAGGAGATAGTGGGATTTACTCTTAGAGCCTAAACGGATGTTCCTAAATGAGGTGCAGCCAAATAGCTCATCTGCCAGGTAGCCCAGAAATGTATTTTGAAATACACATTCCCAGGCCCCAGTCCTAAGCAGAATGAATCAAAATCTCTAGGGAACCACTCTGAGAACTATATTTCTCTTAAATGTCCCAGTTATCATATTGACCTGCCCTTGGCCACTCAACTCTTAATTAGCACCTTTAAAAACAGGGATGAGTGACCCTGAGATGGAAAGGGGAAATTCAGCAAGGAATGATGTTTTCCTCTGGGCAAAGCTACCTTATGAGTTTCTCTGAATTCCTCCTTTGAATGTGGGGCAATCATTTTTTTCTGTTTCCTCTCATTAACCCATCCAGATGGGACCCTTAGGGACCCCTTAGAAACAAGGTCTTTTTTCCTTCAGAGTGAAGGAAATCATTAGAGTTTTGTTGATACATGTTGAAAGACTCTTGCATGGAGGCATATAGTCCTCCCAGGCTTCTGAACATCCTGTGCTAGCTTAAAAAGATTCCAGCATGGTGAATAGATTTATAATCCTGGGATAGATAAAACAGCAAAATGGAAAAGATAAGTACATTGGTCCACAAAAAATATTTAGCTTTTATATATAAAAATACAATGTAAACAAACTGAAATAGTCAAAGAAAATGAGAATAAATTGGACAGCAGAGAGATAGACAAAGGACTGCTATCTGTAGTAAATAGTAATAGCTTTTATAAATCAAAACAAAATAGGCAAAAATAGCAAAGCTTACAAAAGATGGACTAAAATATCAGATGGACAAATGAATAAAGTGCTGCACTTCAGTATGAGTTGAAAAAAGTACCAATTAATACAATACTGAAATCTCCTTTTCAACTCTCAGATTGCCAAAGGTATTTTGCAATGCTAATGTCCATTATCCTGAAAAGTATGACTAAATGGATACAGGAATGAAGGAAGAAATGTGGTACAAGCTTTGTGAAGAATGTCAATGTTATGGAAATGTGTGTATTTGTCAGTACACAAAGTTGTGCTGTGGCAATCACAAAACCTTGAATCCCCATGACTTCCACGGGGATGCTGAATGTCCATCACAGCTTGGCCACAGCTGTGCTCCACCTTGTCATCACCACAGCACTTGATTCTAGAATACTCCCGAGCAGTCAGAGGAAAGAGACATGGCCCAACGTGGCTGCCCCTTCAGGCTTCTTCCCAGGGGTTTTAACATGCCCACCTACGCTTCATACAGTGAAGCAAGCCATGCAATCAGGCTAGGCCTAGGGTTTCCCAGGATAAGGACATAACATCTTCCCCAGGAAGGGCCGCCACTCAGAGTGGTCCTGGAGAATCTGTTAAGGAATCCTGCAATACACGTTCCCCGGGACTTAACTGTTTCAACTTCTGAGACTTTATCCATCAACAAAAGCTCATGAAGTGTAAAAGTTTATGTACAATGAAGTCCTTCATGATAAATTTTTTAAGATAGCTTTTATAACTGACATTATAGGCAAAGGTAAAGTTGCACCACACAAAGATTATGTCATGATTTATGATGTAAAAACTGAAAATAACATAAACCTATAAAAGTAGGTTACATAAAACTATGTTGAGTTTCTGTGATTAAAAAGTTTTAGTATTTTTCTACAATTAGAATTATATAATAACATAGGGAGATGTCTAAGATGTTGTTAACAGGAAAAAAAGTGTCAGTCTGGTTCCTAGTCTCTAAAAACTGAGCATTATAAATATATACATGTCAATATTTGTCAAAATAATAACTGAAAAATACTGGAAACATGTTTGCCAACTTGTTCATGGAGCTCAAGATACTGAATTATGGGAAACTTTCTTTTTCCACTCTGTATCTCTAGTTTTTCCTTTTTATGGTAATCATCATGTTTTATTCCATTCTCAGAAATTGTTTTTTCTAAAACCTTTGCAATAATTTAAACAAAAGCAAAAAGGAGTATGGTGGGCAGCTGGGAAGCAGTTATCTTCTTTGCAGGAAACCACAGTAACAAGGCCTTCCTGTGTGTGAAGGTCTGTGGTGTCCAAGACCCATGAAGTAAAGGCTCTTTTCTGAGGTGGTCTTATTTTGTGCAGCCCATAAATTATTCAGGGGCATCTAACCGGTCATTTTGTTTCCGTCTTTTCCCTCCCTCCCTCTGGATCTTAGCCACAACTATGTTCGTGGGTCCATTACGCTTTTTATCATCAACCTGCATCGATCAAGAAAGAAAATCAAACTGGCTGGGACTCTCAGGGACAAGCTTGTCCACCAGTACTTGCTGCAGCCCTATGGACAGGAGGGCCTGAAGTCCAAGTAAGTGCTGCCCTGGAAACAGCCTAGGAGCAAGGGTAGCGGGAGCCGGGGAGGGCGGGCCTGGAGTCACCCTTCGCTGGAAAGCAGCAAGGCTGTTGCTGATTCACTGGGGCTTTGTAGGAGGAGGTAGGGTCAACAGCAGTCTGGGATTAAGGGACTGCTGACTTCATCTCCTCGGGACTCAAATTCCTCCCTGAGTATGGATGGGTTTAGAATCCTTTTCCACTGTTAAGTCAAATGGTATACAAGAATATTGGTATTTGCGGGAGATAGCTCATGGGCAGTAGTCTCACATTGCGAGGTGTTCAGTATCTGTGGCACCTGCCTGCTAGATGCCGAGAGCGGCCCCCTGGCCATGAGACAGCCAAAAATCTAGGAGTTGAGAGCCACACGTTTGTTAGTTCTAATGTTCTATAGTGTTACAACTCCAATTTTGTTATTTACCATCCTTGCAGGGCTTAGAGAAAGGAACACTGGACCAAAAGTCAAAAGTTCAGGATCAAGAATCAGTTCTATCTCTAACTTTATAACTTTGGACACATCATTATATCTGAATATTTCCATCTGAGTAATATGAATAAGACTGCATTCTGTGGTCTGTGTGAGCTTTTATAACTCTATAGGATCCTTCTATGACACTCGTTACTTCTTCAGTTTCCAATTAGACAGTTGACAATACTTACCTCTACCAACAGAAATCAGCTCAAGGCCATAGACCAAGGCCACCCCAGCTACCCCAGCAAGGCCTCTTAGAAGGGTATGGGATGCTGTACAGACTGGGGGCGTTCCTATTCCATTTTTAATGTTTACCAACTTTAACAAAGCTGTAAACTTGGAGCAGGTGGCTTGCACTCCCACGACTGCCCACAACTATTTCTGCTATAATTGTTCACTGATTTCATTGCAACCTTGGTGGCTTGCATTTGGCTTCCAACTGCATGTGCAATGGAACAAAACACAATTTGGAAAGTCACTTATTGAATCTCTTTAGCCCACCCTAAGTCTATGTTTTTAATCCTGGTTCACATAATGGCTTTTTTCTTTTGGCTACATGTACGTTGCTTCTATATTTCTTTCTTCCTATGCCTGTCTGTATCAGTAGGACTCTCTTGGGTATTTCAGTTCTGGCTCTCCACATTGCAGTAGTTCCTGGCTGTTGTGTTGAATGCTTGTCCTTCACCCTAAGCAGGACACCCCAATTCGTGTCCCAGCTTTCATCATAAATCATCACAAGAACAGAAGATCCACTAATCCTAATCCATTGACCTCAGTTTCCTCAGCTGCAGAATTCAAGGGTTGCTGTGTATTTGATGAGGTCCCTTCCAGCTCTAAAATTCTCACCCAGGGTCTGCATTTACGGGAACTATAAGGGTATTTAAAGTTTCCTTGCTGTCAACTAATAGCCTCTTCAGCAGGAACTGTGATGGGTTATGGTCCTCCGGACTGAAGAGTTTGGGAAGACCATGAGCCCTGTGTTGAAGGACAGGCCAATGCTTTAAGGGCTTAGGCCAATGTCTCAGTCTCTGCTCTGCACTGCGCAAGTTATGTAATCACTCTAAGCCCATTCCCTAGCTAGTCAGCTTCTCATGTGGGACAGAGTAGATGAGGTATTCTTCCAAAAGTTCCCGACACATAGTAAATACTCAGTAAATAGCCATTGTCTTCCTTTGTCTCAATTCAGAACTCCAGCCTGTTGAGGAAGGGGATGGCAGAGGCACAATTTACTCTTAACTACGAATATTGTTTTACAAAGGCATCTTCCAATATTTTTGAAGTAATATGTTAAGACATTTGGTAAGATAAAGGGCACACTACACAAATACATAATCAGTCGTTCCAAAAGACCCCTTGTGGGCTGCTCACGGATGGCTTCGGTGTCGGCCTCTGCAAAATGGTACAGCATGGTGTAGCTGAAGCAGTGAGTGGCTGTGTGGGCATTGCAGCTGATTCACAGTTATGTTCAAGAAGAGCTACCAATCTCCAGTGTCCAAGTCCACGCCAAGTCCTGGAAGCTGTCCCTCTGTGCTGAGTGGGCAATGGTGCTTATTGAAGGTATGCTGTGTCCCAACGTAGAGCACCAGTGCATTGGTGAACTGCAGGCTGTAGTGAATGTGGGCGCATTCCAAAGTTTAAATGCACTTTTTCACTCTTGACCAAATTTTAAAAGATGCTGTAATATCATTTTGAATTGTGTAAATATATGAGAGAGAAAACAAAACAACACATAAATGCCAACTGTGAAGCAGAAGGAGAAAGAGGTCCAGGAAGCATCTGTTCATGAATTCATGTCCCCACCAACTGTGTTTCTCCCTCCCCCGCCCCATCCCTGCCTCCAAGGTCATTGCTTTGCTGTTTATCCAGCTGCTCCCTGGTCCTACTGCTGCTTATATAGTTGTCCTTCGTGGTGACAAAAGTGACTGAGTCTTCTTGCCTCGTGAGACACTTAGTGTTCAAAAATTGCTGTCAGAATGCTGATGAGGAATTGTGACCATTGTTATGAATACGGGAGTGGGACAAGGACAAAGAGAAAGCCATTGCAAGGGGCTCCTGAGGAGGACTTTGGCACCAACTCCCGATATCAGCCAGTAAGGTCATGTACCTGGAGGAGCAATGGAGCTGAAGTCGGGCCTGAACCTGAATCCAGGTGCTGCCATCTATCTGAGTGATCAAACCTCAGTTTCCCTATCAAATGAGGTTATTGTGAGAAGCAGATTAGAGGATGTGGGCGAAATAAAGCCATCCACAAATGTGAATTCCGCTATCCACATACCTGTACATCTAGAAACTTACCTCTACCAACAGAAATCAGCTCAAGGCCATAGACCAAGGCCACCCCAGCTACCCCAGCAAGGCCTCTTAGAAGGGAATGGGATGCTGTACAGACTGGGGGCGTTCCTATTCCATTTTTAATGTTTACATTTACAAGTATGAGTGTACATATATTGTATCAGAGTTTTAGATCAAAAGTTAGAGGGTTTGCCCCTTTTTGCTTCCATTAACGCTCTGAAAATTTGGCCCTTCCCTCACATTTCAGAATTTATTCTTCTCCTATAAACTACCACTCATTTCACACCTCTCTGTTCTAGTGCTTGGAGGCTGTGAGCCTGTGCTTTGCTGTCTTGATCTGTAAGCTGCAAGGCAGACCGGCAGGACAGGCGGGACAGGCGTGCCCACTGTCCAGCCGTTCTGCAGCGCTGCTGGGTGGCTGCCTACGAGGAAGAGCCCTTGCTGGCTCTGGGAGGGGGCTCACAGGAAGGCTGCGGTTTCAGCAAAACAGACTGCACTGAGAAGGATGAAAGGAAGTATGGGAAGTGATTTCAGCAGTTGGTGTCTCTCTCTCTTTTATAAGCCTCTAGGGCCTGGCTCTGTATTCTGTGCTAATTCCTTGCTACAGCCTAAAACCATATTTTTCTCAAAAGAGGATAGAAAGTTTTAGAAGTAGAAGAACCAGGAAGAGCATATAGAGCAAGTCAGTGCCCCACTCAAGGCCCCAGCTGGCATTAAGGTCTGGGACTTCAGGGATAGGGAATTCCAGAAAATCTGTTGGTTGCAGGGGGCATGGGGTAACTTCTGCTCTTCAGAAATTACTCTCAGGGCTGAAAAGATTTAAAATCTCTAACAGGGTATCCGCTTGTGAACTGGGAACTGAGGTGTGCCAGCTGTCACACAGGAAGCACCCTCAGTGTTACTCGTGAGGCATGGTCCAGGTGTTCCGAGATGGTTTCCGTTCCCCTTCGCCCTGAGCGAGCAGAGGATGAGACTTCCCACTCAAGTCTCAACCCAGAGGGAAGAGTCTGTTCTCACTCAAGGGACCAGATAAAAGATAAGTGCTGTCTGGCCTACAGGACAGATGTTCTAGAAACCTGCAAGGGAAGGATAATCTAAACCTGGGTAAATGGCTTTCAAGGAATGGCTGAAGGAAGTGGAGAAGTTTAGTTCAGAGGAAAAAGATAAGGTGAGTTGTGAGGACAATTTTTGCATATTCAAATTTGCCCAATGAAATTGAAAACCAAGGAGTACAAATTGAAGAGATATTACCTGTGAGTCAGCTCATCTTGTACCAGATCACCTAGTCTGAGAGGGGACGCAGGGTAGACGCAGGAGGGAGAGCAGCTGTCGCAGAGGTGCCCAGTAGGGGGGCAAGTGAAGGATGGCTGCTTCTCATGAGCTCTGAAACAGTGTGCTTCTCCTCTAGTCACCTCTGCCCCTACTCCCACCTCACCTGGGAAGCAGTGGTGACTGTGGTCACCAGCAAAGCAATTTCTTCAAGCCAATAAAAGGCCACACACAGAGGCCGGGTGTACTCAAGGAGGGAATGGCGACGTGAGATGCTTGGTTTTTTTCCCCAGCCAGTCTCCGGCTCTAGGTGCCTCCCTTGTCATGTAGCCTGGTTTCTGGTTGCTTCTGGAAGATGATTCCATTCATACCTAGACAGTAGTTCCCTTTCTGGGAAGTCAGAGAGGGAACACTTTGGGGAAGCTCCACCGTCACCAGAGAGGGTCCATCCATCACCTGTGTCATCCCAGATCAATAAACATTAATCCCCTCGAGAATGCATCCTGCCTGAGACATAAACAAAGAAACAACATGCGGCTACACTACGCAAGTCAAAAACAAAAGGACCCTTCCGGGGAAAATGCAGACTAAGAAAGGGTTTGAGGTCAGAGCCCAGTGTTTTTTTTACATGTTTCTGGTTCAGTTCCATTTGAAGGGAAACTAATCCAAAGGTTAGAACAGAAGAAAGGAACTTTGGCTGTTCTGTTCTGACACATTGGCCTGAGGGAACTGGCAGCTGCTAAGAACACTGGAGTAAAATGACATTCTAAAGTGATCTGGTTTATTCTCCTGCCCTCAGAAAGCCTTAGCTAAGCCATGTGGATCAGAGAATGCTCCACGTTTAAAGACCTCTGAGAAAAGAGTGACCACAATTTCAGCCTGTCGAAACACTTGATTTTTATAACATTAGAGCCCATGGAACGTAAGGAGTGACTTTATACATA